CATGATTTACAAAAGGCAAAGCTTGCCAACTGATGAAGGGTGAAGGGTGAGAAACCATAGGGAAGTGATATGTCAAAAACCATTCCAAACCATGCAGTTGCATAATGAGAAGGCTGAGGTAAGCTATACCTTTGACCCACCTTGTTCTTTTATTATACCTAAGATTGTGTTGGTTTCAACAGCTTACGTGGGGTACATTTCTACTCTTCTAACTCTTACCATGTTAGTTTGAAAGGGCAGATTAAATGTTCAGGTTAGCTTATCATGTAAAAACCACAGTACACAGGGCATATCCATGAAGAGATTTATAAGGAACAACACAAATAGACCAATCTGGCACTTAGTTGCTCCTGTTCGGTTAACAAAAAAAATTTCCCTCCCCAGGTAGGAATTGCTATAAAATAAATGACTTAGGAAAACAAAGACAAATACAATCGAATTTAAATACTTTAAAAATCGGGACACCTGGGTGGCTCAGAGGTTGAGTGCCTGCCTTTGGCCCAAGGCATGATCCTGGAGTCCCACGATTGAGTCCCGCATCGGGCTCCCCGTGTGGAGCCTGCTTTTCTCTCTGCCTATGTCTCTGCCTCTCTCTCTCTGTCTCTCATGAATCAATAAATAAAATCTTTAATAAATAAATACTTTAAAAATCTTACACAATCTATAAGATGCACGTAGCACAAAAGAAAGTAGTAGTAAAGTGAGGAAAATACAAATAATCTGATTTTCCAATAAATTAACACATGGAAGCAGCATCTACTAAAAGAACATTATACAGGTAAAATCTGACAAAGATTTAAAATTTGTTAAAGTGAAAGTATTTAATTAAGCATCATGACAAAAAAATTAGCACCAAAGTATAATGTGAATCTTATACCATAGTACTTCTGCTAACCTTTAGGACTGGACTGCTCATCAGAAAGCACACAGGATTTATATTTTATCCCCAACTGCTAATAATGTGAGGAACTAATCTGAGCCTATTAGGAACATTTATCATTCAGCTTCATGGTGCTGTTCCTTTTTCACCAAAATTAAGGTGATAACAAAGTTGCAAGGACCACCCCCATGATAGTGGTTAGACTTTTTATCATCTCTTATTTGGACAAGCACACCTGAAAATGGATTTGAAGATTTCTAGAACTAAACTGATACCTATCCTCTGGAATCTGAAGTCCTAAGATGGGACTACAGGTTTAATTTTAACCAATCACATAAACACTAAAACACACAAGTACAGAAACACACAGTATTACCACTGTCCATTCAATAACAATTCAAAGTTTCATTTTGAGAGCCATCTCCTGCTTGACTCATCAAATGGCTTGAGAAGCAGAACATCAGTAATAAAATGATTGTTAAGTCAATTCCTGCCATGACTTGCATTACTACTCACAGTTTCTGGCACATAGTAGGCACTTACTGTGAATGAATGAATCACTGACCAGCCTTACATATGTTACTCAACTACTCTGCATATTTTAAGCTTTCTATATATAAAAGCAGGCTTTCTCTGGCCTAGTTTTTCAAATCGTCTGAAACTCTAACAGTAACACAACCAATAAAAAGATGCTTTCATTTCATGTAGAAGTCAGAGAGACAGAGAAGTTACATATCATGATTCTCATGCTGAGGCTCATTTGACTTTCATCCTAGTTTGAACACCACTTCCTCAGGAAGGAGTGCCCCAACCAGCAGCCCCCCCCCAGCAGTATTATGCCCCCCAAATTATTAACTCTCCTTGAATGCTTGATTTTCCCTTTGTTGTACACACCACAAGTCATTGAATAAGACCTGTATTGCTCTTTGTTAAATGCTCGTCTCTTTCTCTAGACTCCAGACATCCTGAAAGTGGTGGTCATGTAGGCTTTGGTGACTGACCTATGTCTTACACCTAGAAGTACTGGCACCCAGGTTATTTAGTAAATATTTACTCAATGACTGTATGAAAACAAAGAAGCCCCTTTTTGAGAACAATGGTGCCCCTTCAATATACTCAAATAATAAAAGCTTAGAAATCAGGGGAAAAAACATTAGGTCATCAAGCATAATGTTCAGAACATCACTGTTCTCAGTATGAAACTAAGAAGTTTTGCCCTGGTAGTGGTAGTCACAGTGATAAAAGAGGTAACTGTATTGTTGTGTGTCTGTGTGCCATTTTATAGATTTCAAAGCACTTCCATCATGTGTGTGGTTCATAACTGTAAGTCTCCAAAGGGTTCATACACAACCCTCTGTGGTATGACACAAAATATTCTAAAGAGTTGTGACAGGTATACTACCCTGAAGGTTTTAATGTATCACTTACAGACTGCGAATTTTTTTTTTTTTTTAGGGATCACAGCATAATATCCCCTTTACAAACTAGCTGGGACAAAGTCTTAATTTTTTTTTTTAAGTTGCAGAGCCCTGAAAGAAATACCAATTCTAAATAAAATCTTCAGGCACTGTGGAATATAGTAGTTCTATTTTCTCAGAGGACAAAGAGAGGCAATCTGAGAGCTTCTGCTGCATGCCAAAGGAACTTCCCAGAGATTGTTGGTAAATGGATCCACACCTCTAAGGTTCCAAAGTAAACTTCTAAAACCTTTTCAGAGGTGTATGACCTTCAGAATCCTGTGAAGGTGAGAGTAGAAGAGAGACATTTATTACACAGTCCTCACTAATGCTCTGTGATGATTAAAAACTTTTAACTTTCTATGACTATATGAAAATTCATAAAGAGACCACAAGATGGATCAGAATTTTGGCAAACATTATAGTAATGGAAGTACTACTTGCCTTTAAGAAAGATCTTGTTCCACCTTTTTAAGGAATATGTTTGGAAGTTGGAGTTTGCAAAAACCCAGTTATCTTATATATACACAATGTCCTATCCCTGCTATGTCCCTACATGGTTTCAGGTCTTAGAAACCTCATACAATTATGATTTGCTATTCTTGGTCTTGTATCAAGCTTATATAGAGGGCATAACTTTGCATCAGAAAGACAATAAACATGTTTTCTCCTCTTATGAAAGATCAGAATCACTAAATCCAAGTTGCCTCATAGTCTGTAGTGTAAGGTTAGGGCTAAAAAGTAGGGTAAAACTCAAAGTACAGTCTTTCCTATTTAGTAGGGTTGGGATAATGGGATGAGGTCTTAAGAAAGAAAAAAATGCTATTAACTACTGAATATGGGGGAGTGTTTATCTTTTTTTTCATAAGTGACTTGGTTTTTTGAAGGGGGAAGAGGTCCATTCTTTAGGTAAAAATACCTTAAACATCTGTGAATCCTAGAGTTTAATAGAGAAAAAATTCACATAAAGTTTTTTAACTTCCCAAATCTGTTTTCTTATCTCTAATGTACACTGTGCAATTATATCCGCACAACATCAAAGTTAAAGATAGAAAGGCCTATCAAATAACCTCCATAGAATGTAAGGGTCAAAGCATGATTAATCTATGTAAGAGGCCTAACTCTGATCTTGGTAGCAAACACACTTTATTCTATAAAGTCAGCCCTGTTCTTTTAAGTCAGTCGTCTCCAACCCTGAACACATATTTAGAATGAGTTTTTAAAAAAGACTGGTACCCTAATCCTGCTCCAGAAATGAAATCAGAATCTCATTAGAATAAGGACAGGCTGGTTCTGAAGGTCAGCAGGAGTTGAAAACCTCTGGTCTAAGTGCTTTCTGTTATCCACTTTCAAATGCCCCAACATGATGAGATCACTTTCACATTTTTCCTATGGAAGGAATATTCACAGTCCCAGGACTAACAGCCACAGTGGTAAGAAAATCAGACTTTTACAAGCTGAACAAGTCTACTACTTCTTGGATATAAGCAGACATTCTTAAGTCACAAATACTACACTTAATAAATACTAACCATTAAAAAGGGAAAAAAATTAAATTGTTTTTGAAAAACACAGAAGAACTTCATCTGTGAACATATAATTATGTAATGCTCATTTAAGTATGGCTTAATTAATAAGCCATTTTTAAAAATTTATCTTCCACTGAATAGTAGCCAATCTTATAAAAGACTTGATTTTTGGAACTTTCCCAGAGATAGAAGTAAGAAAAGGCAAATAAAGAAACCAGAAGTATAAGACACCCTATTACACAGGTATCTGAAATCAGTTCAAAGGGGAGTTTCCATTGCTCAGAGGACAAAGGACTTCTCAGAAATATTACTGCAATCATATTGCTCATTTCTTACTCAACCTGGTACTGCTGAAAAGGATGTCGCTATGTTCCCACCTTTGCTGCCTTATGTGTTGTTTCTGTGACAGCTGGAGTCAACAAAGATAAGTTCGGCTTCTGGAAAAACCAAAATGTCAGCCTTCTTTATTTTTCAACTTGCTCTAAAACTCTCCCCTATTATCTGATTCTATGAATTTTGCAATAGCTGCATATTAGTTAAAGCTGGAGAATGAGTAACTAAGCCTGGTCTAAACTGTATGCTGCAGCAAACATGATAAAAACATGTTGTATGCAATTTTTTAGCATTTTATAAAAATCTCACATTCGAAGGGAGCTTGCTTACACTAAGGATTTCAAGACCCGGCAGCCCAGGTGACTCAGTGGTTTAGCGCCGCCTTCAGTCCAGGGCATGATCCTGGAGACCCGGGATCGAGTCCCACGTCGGGCTCCCTGCATGGAGACTGCTTCTCCCTCTGCCTGTGTCTCTGCATTTCTCTCTCTCTCTCTCTGTGTGTCTCTCATGAATAAATAAATAAAATCTTAAAAAAAAAAAAAGATTTCAAGACCAAAGTGGGGGGAAAAAAAAGGCAAGAAAATCTAAAATAGGCATAATACTCTAAATAAACCTAGGTGGCCCAGCTGGGAAAATACTTAAGATTCCTTTTCTATAAACATCTTAATTAAGATGAAATTAACAGTGGCCACAGTAATGATAAGGAACTATTAACAGTTAGAGAAGAATTTTGATGATGTGCTTCTGTTTTCAGGTCAGTAGTTATAACCAAATATTACCAGGTGAGTGGTATAAACTTACATGACTTATTGCAGATTGAACAGCCTTTACATAATGGCTTAGTTCCCGATCCATCATGGCCAATTCAACCATTGCCTTGTCCATACTGTATTCACTACTCACTTCAGCTGAAAGAAAAAGAAAGTAATTACTGTTTTCCATTTAAAATGCCATCTCTGGAAAAAAAATTGCTCCAATATCATCCTTACCAGTCTATGATCTAAACAATTTTATAAAAGGTATTACAGATTTTTTTAAAGACTTCCTTAACATAGGCCTGCTTCATTCAAAATTCTGAGAATACACCCAGTCGAAGAAAGCTCAAAGGCCGGAGTGGGGGGAAAAAAAAAAGAAGACTCAGACTTAGGAGTTCTAAGCTATGCCACTTAGTTGTGTGATTGTAAATCAGCCACTACACTTCACTCGGCCTCCGTTTCCTTTTCAGTTAAAGCAGCCCAGCTATGTATCTGCACGTGCACCTCACGGGATTATTAAAGATCAAATAAGAAAGATTTCCATTTCTAGTAAGTTAGGTTAAGTGTACCAGTTCTACTGAAAACCACAAAAACAGCTAAAGTAGAAGGTACAAGGAAGGAAAGGAGGGAGGGAGGGAGGGAGGAAGGAAGGAAAAGAGGGAAGGAAGGAGGAAAAGAAGAAAGGAAGAAAGAAAACTCCTTAAAAACAAGAGTTACGGGACAGAAGCAATCAGGAACAATCTAGCAAAAACAGACAAAGAAAAACAGGGCCAGAACACCACAGTCTCATACAACTCACCCCCCATCCCCCGGCCCCCACCCCAGCTGGGGTCTTTACTCGTCAGAATACGGAGGAACCAAAGTAATGCCACTCTGCTCCTCCAGGCTGCAGTGGGGTTGGCCTTGGCAACTGGGCAGAGAAGAGGTAAGAGAGAAAGAAAATAAAGCTCATTCTGAAAACCTGTGGCCACAAGGCTTTCAGAAGGATGTTCAGCCTGGGTTCCCGTCACCTGAGTGGTCCGGGGAACCTCAGTTCTGATGTTGGTGTGAGGTGGTCTCCCCCTAGAAGTACCGCTAGGTACTCCCCTCTGAAGAAGACCATCCTAGGCCTCTGCTCATCTGCACAAATAATCGTGAAGGAGAATGAGCAGATTAGAGGGGGAAAGGTAAAACAAAATCAACAGAAAAACCTAACAAACCCTAAAAAAAAAATACAAGAAAACAAACATCAAGAGTAAGAATCAGCAGACACAGATCCACAAATGTTTCCAATACTGGAGTTATCGATCAATTAGAGAATGAAACAATTATGCTTACTATGTCTAAAAAATTAAAATACTAAAAAAATAAAATTAAATTGAATTAAAAATTAAAATACTCTGGCTTAACAGGAGACGATAAAGAGTATTAGCGGATTGGAAAGGCGAGGTAGTATTTTTAAGTGTTTTTAAATTATTTTCAAGCTCTAAACGTACAATTTAATAGATCAGGAGATCAGGAACACAAAATAATACAAATTTTATTTAAAAAGCTGAAAGAAAAATAAAGCTGACCAAGTCACATGGGAATGCACACACTCAAATATTCTCCATTCAAATACCTTAGCTCAGACAAATGTCAGGATTTCTTGTCTACTCTGCAGGATACAACAGATCATCCCAAAGTCAAGAAATAATATAAAATACACTTACATTTAGCTTTTGAAAAGGATTTTCCTGGACTTCATTATAAACACATTTCAGAAAATATCTCCTGGATTAACCTGCTTCTAGTAGAATGTCTCTTGGCTTATAACACCCAGACTTCACAGTCTGTGTGTGTGTGTGTGTCCCAATATAAAGTTTTTTGCTTTTGAGGAGGGGGAAGGGGGCAGTATTTACATAAGAAAAATTTGTATTTACATTCCCTAAATTAAATATAACATTTTTAACAAAATAGTGTGTGAGAAAGGACCCAAGCCATATTCCAAATAAAACTGTCAGAGTGTCAATCACAGGTCCATGTCGTGAAAATGTCCAAATGTTAACAAGGGAGACAAGCTGTTTAGGTGTTGCTGATATCAACATGTATCTGCTATGTAGATATCAATAGTTTGTTAAAAATCATATTAATTACTTGATGATCAGAAAGGGAATTTTAAGCAATTTATATCCGAATATGATGGTTTATGACTTATATAAAGGTAGGCATTTTTCTGTATTTAATTAATCAGTGGAAATCAATACAGTGTTGGCAATCTTCCTATGGAATTAAACAAGTTTATTTTTGAAGGCATATAAAAACGTGCTTTTGACATTAAAAATGCTATGAGAGAGTTTGCAAGATAAAATAAATGGGATCATGGTATTCATTATCAAGGTCCCAAGGATGCTAGCAAGACTTGAACCAGATGGCAACTTCGAATTACAAGGCCAAGGAGACCTTGCCTGCGAAGGAGAAAATGAGTGACTGGCTGGGTCAGGTTTATGGCATGAAGCCTAAGGCAAGAATCTTTGGAAGCCATCTGTGGCTTCCTGCAGCCTCAGCTAAGGCTCCAGGGCCCCAGAATGCTTAGCTGAAGGACCTAAACATGAACAGTGCAGCCTGAGGCAAGAGGGAAAACACTAGAAAAGATCAGGAAGCTAGTCCGGGAGAGGAACGGAGACTCACACCCCACCTGGAGGTGAGCCCAGTCAGATAACTTCTGGCTAACGTCAGTGTCTCAGTCCACAGCAGAAAAGGGCTTGAGGCCAGAGACCTAAGCATGAGAAGGAGCCCCATAGCAAAAGGAATCTGGAAGAAAGGCCATGAGAACATCCCTGTCAAGGAGCAACCTGCTACAGCTATTTTAAGATTCTTTTGGTGACTCTTTCTGTTCTTGTTAACTCTTACTTCCCTACTGTGATCTAATGTCTTTTAAAACCGTGATTTGCATTTATGTTTCAGAAGCACATAATGGAAGGCGTAGTGAATTGGTGTCTGGCCCTATGAAACAATCGAGGTGAGGAAGGAGCACAGTGTGGCACGAAAAAGGCAGACAGGCCAAATAAGTCCCCGAAAGATTCAAGAGGAACTAGGAATGAGCACAGAGAAAGCAGGGGTAGGAGGGGGGCGTTGAAGAGGGACTGACCAGTCCAAGGTTCCTTGCTCCTTTACTGCATAGTACAGAACCCCACCACCAAAATTCCCCCACTAATGCAGGAAAACTTCCTAACAATCTACACCAAACTAAATCCTATACATCCTTCAAGGGCTGAGCTCAAGCCCTACCTACTTTTAAACCATACCCACTGAGAAAGATCTCCTTCACTTAATTTATCTTTAACAGCTGTACTTGATACTTTGGCACCTGCAACCATAAACAATCTTGTCTTCTTCCTGTATGCATTTGTCTCATTTCTCCAAACAGATTCTAACCCAGTTGAGGGCAAAAATGCTGCTTTAGTGTTCTTGGATTCAATGAAGAATTACAGCATCTCTTCCCTCAATGTTCTCACATAGCATTATTTGATAAATTTGAAAATTAAACTTTCACTGAACTATAAGTTTGTCCTGCCTCAGATATCCTACTGAATTAAAGTATAATGAAGACATGTGAGATAAACTCATTTGTCTACTATATTTTCATGGTGATTCTTCCATCAGAAAAAGGTTGGCACCAGCACGTGGGGACAAGGGAGGTGAGGGGAGGGAAGCACACAAATAATGTTAAAATTCACAGAATGACAATCCCAGAGAGAAAATTATTACTGTACCACAAAAGCCTGGCATTACAGGAGACTGATGCAGCTGACAAAGCATGGAAAGCAGTAACCACAATGAAAAAGAAATATGTAACAATAATAGCTGTAGCTAATAATTAGTAAGCACTTTATTATGTGCCAAGATTATACTGAGCACATCATTTACAGCAAACCTCACAGCAACTTTTTTATCTGCACTTCACCTATGAGAAGTGAAAAACTGAGCAGCTGAAGGAAGCTGCTCTTTGTGCTACAGAGCAGTGAGTGGCACAGTGAGGTTGCCAAGTCAGGCTTTTTAGTGGCAAAGTTTGCAAACTTGCCCGCCTGTGCTAACAGGTGCACAAACGTGACAAGAAGGACAACCAGCTCCAACTCCTCCATGAATATCCAGGGAACAAACCCTCAGTGGTGAAAAGTCTTGGCCCCCAGCTCCAACATCTCAGCCCCATGTGATCCATTCTACATAAGACACTAGGTAATGCCACTCAAATCTATCAGACCGGGTCCCATAAAAGCTTTTCCAGATTCCTTACATAGAGGAAACTGATTAAGGAAATTGATTCTAGTTGCTACACCACAGAAATGGAAGTACAGCCACGCAAGCGCAGCAGCAGAGACACGTTCAAGGGGAAGTCTTCGAATTGCAGAGATACTTCTCAGTGGAGCCAGTATCAAAACCATTTCTAGTGTCTATGCCTCTTACTGCCTTCCCCCAGTGGGGTCTGGGGGATCTATGAATATTCACATTTCTTCAATGTGCCACTCAATAAGCATTTATTACAATCAACCTTTGCTTGTATTAATCCAATGAACCTAAGTGACATACTTGAACATTCATTTATAAGCCAATAAATACATAAAGACGTCTCATGGAGAGCTTGGGGAGTTTGCAAGGCCTGTGTAACACATCTAGCACACTAATTAGGAAACTTCCTAAAAGCACAGTAACTAGCTTAAATAAATCCCCCTACCCTCGCCCCAGCAAATCAAGTCTAGAAGGCACAGATAATCTCTGATTTACATTACAAAATTATAAGTTTCTGTAAGTATGCCAATACCAGGGCTGTCTTCCTTCATATCTCCAGGTCTATACCCAGGGATCTTGGTCAGCCCCATCTCGAACACTGGGGACTGCTAATAGTACCCAAAAAACTTTAAAAATGTTATTTAGACCAGAAAGGGCCATAGAATTAAACCCATTTTTATTTATTTTTATTTTTTTAAAAATTTTTTTTTAATTTTTATTTTATTTATGATAGTCACAGAGAGAGAGAGAGGCAGAGACACAGGCAGAGGGAGAAGCAGGCTCCATGCACCGGGAGCCCGTTGTGGGATTCAATCCTGGGTCTCCAGGATCGCGCCCTGGGCCAAAGGCAGGCGCCAAACCGCTGCGCCACCCAGGGATCCCATTTTTAAAAGACAGTCTCTCTT